TTGAAATAACAGGAATTTAAGGCCACTTGGTTTAAGCAATGCCTTGATTTAATGACTGATTATGTTTTAGGATTATCACTAATATAGGGACAGTTCCATCCTTTCATAATGGAAGTAGAACATTGATCTGGGTGATTCTCCTGGGACCAGAGGGATTGGAACAAAAACTTCCAGCTGGAGGTAGGCAGCTGACTCAGCAAATCTGCGCCTGGAAGCTTTGGAAAGGGAATGCAATACCTCTGGAATTAGAGCCAGGATGAAAACATCTGGGCCTTGAGAGCAGCAGAGCATTGCTCCAGTGGAAAATATGATGTCCTCCAGCCTAAGAGCTTCAGGTTGCAGAAGGACCTGTCAGAGTGTATGGGGTTTTTAAACATTTTTATATTTATTTTCACTGAAAGGAGGAGAGGAGGCCGCTGATGCAGGTGGAGGCTGGGTTATTCTGTGATACAAAACAACCTGTGCTTGGGCTTTTTTGCAGGCAGCCCAAATGGTGGGAAGCATTTTGTAGCAAAACAAGGCAAGTGCATTTCTTCCTTACAATCTCTCTGAATTTAAGAGTTTTCAGAGTTTAAAAAAAAAAAAAAAGCTTATTTGTTTGGTTGTGCCACTTGTTATTTTTCTGGCCAGATACAAACACTGTAGAATAATGGTTAGAGCAGCACTGGGAGTCTCTGGGGGATTCTCCATGTTGGTGGGGGGATGAGAGCCCTGTTCTGTGCCAGGGGCTCCCCTTGGGGTGCCAGCCCCTCCTCTCGGTGCCAGCCCCTTCCTGTCAGTGCCAGCCCTCCCCTCTCAGTGCCAGTGTCTCCATTTGATTCCCAGCTGGAGCAGAGCCCGTGGTTGTACCAGAAACAGTTTCTCCTGCAGGGAGCCCAGGCTGGAGCAGCTCAGCTCCTGGTGCCTGGCTCCTGGTGCCACCTCTGGAGTTTTGTGCTGCCTGCCTGCCTGTAGAACTTCTGTTTGACCCTTCAAACATGTTTCCAGCCCACTGGAGACACACTTTGATTTGAAGCAGTGCTTATTCACAAAGAAAATCCTGGGAGCAAACACGGGGAAGAGGCTTTTAGATCAATGCTGCTCCCTTGGGGAGCTCAGACTTTTTGCACTAACAGTGGTGCCAATACTGTGATTTTTATTAAGCAAAAATAAAAAGAGAGACATTACTAATGGCTCTTCCCTTTCTCCCTTCCAACTACCTGAATATTTGAATAACAATGAAAAGTGCGACTTTATATCATTGCATAGAACCAAGATTTTAAAAAGCAAAGTTTGAAGGAGTGGGGTTATTTTAGGGTATAATGGCAGATTTTTAAGAAGGGTTGCAAGATGTTTGTGCAAGTTCCGTTCACCATGAAATACTTTTTGTCCAGTTATTGCATAAATGTGGGGGAAAGAACACAGCTTGTAGTTTTACAGGTGCACAGGGACACAATGCAATTGCAATGATAATTATTTTTAGATAGTTAAGAGTTGTTAAACTACGCAGTAAAGTCAGAGCTGTTTTACTCTGCTGTCAGGTGCTTCTTAGGTCATTATCCTTTTTGTCCTGTACTGCTCTGGAGCATCCTTGGATATTTTTGGGTGTTTTGTTGCTTCCCCAAGCACTTTTGATTATTTCTGTGATACCTTTTTTTCTCCGACAAAGTGTGATCCATTCATGACATGAATCAATGCTAAAATATTTAAGGAATACTTTAGGTAAAGAAATTAGCATGAAAAGAGTTAAATAAGCCAGAATTTTTCTGGTAGACCTCCTCTTTTCTCAGCTATTCTCTACTCCACAACTCTCTGCCAGGAGGTGATGGATCCTGCAGGAAAAGCACATCCCCAGTAACCTGAAGTTAACTCCCCAGGTTTGATTCAATTGTGCAAATTACAATTAACTTGCCTTAGGGTGAAACACATTAAACAAATCTCTGGGTTTGCTTCATGATTTGGAAGCCCCCTAATGTGATTTTTGGCACTGTATAAAACCAAGCAGCAAATGGAAAAGGGCAAAGCTGCTCCTTTGTGGGCACACACAGGAGCATTTGGCCTTGGAGTGCAGCATAATGGAAGGAGAAAACAGCTCCCCTCATCCCCAAAGTTCCAGAACACTCCAAAAACTGTTCAAAAGAGAGTGCTGGCAGGGATGGATGGTAGAGCTGCACACTGAGCTCCAAGTTTTTATGGATCATGGTTTACAGGTGTCTTTAAATTGCAGAAAGGAATAAAAGGGAAAAGCTATCCCAGTAAACATCCCTCAGTGCATAGGAAGATGACAGATTCTTTCTAACAAGATTTTCTGCTCTCTTGGAGGAAGACCATTTGTTAATAAACCATTTGAGAATCCATTTTTAAGGGATTTAATAAAATATACACAGGCTGCCTTCCAGTGCAGGAGCTATTATTCCCTTGGGTGGGAGGAGTGAGTGACTGGGGGCATTAATGGTTCTTTCCTGTGATTCCTGGCATTAGATCTTGCTCCCATTTGCACTTTTCCAACCCAAAGTGAAATAATTTTTTATGAGAAACCCGCACTTGGTTCCTGGCTCTTTTGAGGCATGTGTGTGTTCTATATTTTATTTATTTGTATTCAGTCAGCTCCATAATTCTTGTTGTTTTAGTGTCTGTTCATGCCATGGGTCCTGTGTTTTTGTGGATACAAGGAAAGTTTCCATATCTAGCAAACTCCATTAATGGAAGAGGTAATAGCTGTTGTGTGAATTAAATGAATTGCTTCAGTCTTGCCAAAGATTTCATGAATAATTCCCATTTTTCCATCAAAATCACAGATTTTTGTTGTGATGGTCACTGTCGATGAAAGCTGAAGCTTGGCCCAAGAGAGACTTGCCTGGAGGGGCTGGGGAACCCACAAAGAGAAAAGATGTTTTCTTAAGAATTTGGATAAAGGTTTTCTCCTCCTGCCATCTTTGCAGTTCTGAATAGAAATTTTACTTCTTTCAAACACAAGAGAAATATGGTGGAATTGAGGGATTCAGGGATTTTTGTGAGGAATCTTGCTCTTCTGGCAAGAACATTTCCATGGGGTATGTTGGTAAGAAATACCACTAGGTGGGACAAGAGGAAAGGAGAAAACAGAGGTGAGTGACCCTTGGAAGTCAAAGGCTGGATGGTTTTATGAATATAAAAGTGAAATTCAGCTCTACCCAAGTGTTCTCTCCCTTGGCATGGCTGGCAGTGCCAGGAGCCAGCTCAGCAGGGATTGCTGAGTGGGGCCCAGGCAGCCCCCAGCTGCACAGGAGCAGGAATGAAACCTGGGAAGTTAATGATGTTAGAGTCCCTGGCAGGTCCCAAATGGATGTACTTAGAGCTGTAATGTGTTTGATTCTTTGCTTTCCCAGAATTATCTCCACATCACATCCAAGAACTGAGGATGGCAAGATGGACACTCATTGCTCAGTCACAGCATTACAGCCCTTATAGAAAAAGAGATTACAGACAGGATGCTGCCAGGAAATGACAGAGCTGGGAGGGAAGGGGACAGACAGGAGGACAGACACATTTAGCAGAAATGATTTATTCTGCAGCTACAGCTGTGTGGGGGAAACTGTTCCTACTGCTCATCACTTACTCTCTCTGTGCTTGCTTGCTAATGGTGTCACATCAGTAGTAAAGCAAGAGTAATTCCCTGAGCAGAGGCTGGGACAAAACAGGGAAAATGTGAAATAACAGCATTTGTCCCCTCTTGTGAGGAACGCATCCAAATTCTTCATGTCAGAGAATGAGTTCAGATCTCTAGTGCTGAGGACATGAAAAATTCAATGGGCCTTGTAACCAGTTTCCTATAAATTCTCAAATGTGACAACAATTAGTTGTCATTAGTTCTGCTTCACTGTAGCACTTTAAACTGTGGATTTGGACACGGGACAGATTATTTTTGTAACAATCACCCATTCAAGATCCTGGGATCTTGGCTGGAGTGCACTGGAAACAAGTGGGCTGCAGTGAAGGGATGCTGTGGCTTTTGGAGGAATGAAGCAGGGCAAGTGCAGCTTCCAGATGGAGCAGTTTGTGTAGCCTGGAGCAAAGTATGGAAAAGTCTTCAGGAGGGGAGTGGAGGGAAGTGCAGACACAGTAAGAGCACAGCCCTTCCTGCAGAACCTGTGAGTTTAAATCTCATATATGAACTGCACAGAGTCCGTAGCACACTGAAGATCACTGAGCAGCAAAAGGGTGAAATAAAGGATTTAATTCTGTCCATTGACCCAGAGCTCCTTGGTTCACCCTGGAATGTGTTGCTTGCCTTGCCCTTCTCTCAAGGGCAACACTCTGCAGCTCAAGGAAGGACTTTTTTGCTCCCTGACTTGATAAAATTCAATGTAGAAGTTGATGCATTTGCTAAATAACCCCCACCCAGCTGACTTCAGATTCTGTGCTAATTTTAAACACTGATTTCTGTAATGCAACATTTTCACTATTTGCATTAAAATTGGGACAAGTTTATTTGAACATGTTCTGACTTGGTGTGAAATGTGCACAGTTCAGAATTTGGGAGGTGTAACAAAGCTGAGGGGCTCTTCAAGAAGCAGAGGAGGCTGATAAATCCTACATCAATATTTCATCCCCCAACTTCTCTCTGTAAATTTTCAAGTATTGAAATGTTCTGGAAATTTAAGATACAAAGGCTTGTTTCAAATTATTTTGGAATTTGTTTCTCATCTTACTTATTAATCATAAAACAGGTCGCTTCCTTTTTTTTTTTAGATGACATTCCTCTATTTGGAGGAATACCACAAGATGCTCTTTATTGGCCACTGTCATAGATTTAGAGAGTTTTGCTTTGAGAACCCAAAAATCTGCATTATTTCTAATTAGCAAAATAAGTGCTCCCCCCGTTTCCCAAATGCTGGACAGCTGAAGTTCTGTGCATGGTAGGAAAACTTGCATTTACAAACACAAAAACTGAATAATACAACTTCACTGAAAGAAGTGTCTTTGTGTGCTTTATTTGAGCAGTTGCAGTGGTTGACATGGATTTTTCTGTTGGTTTTCAGATGCTGGACAAGTTAAAGGATCGGTGGATGCACACTGGCTTGTGGAGGAAGCTGGAGGATGTTAAAACAGTCATTGCAGAGCCCCAGGGAGGGGCCAAGAGTGACTTTGATGAGCTGCTGAAAATCTACTATGATGCAATCAAATGTAAAGGAGAAAAAGGTACATTTTTCAGCCATTCAAAATAGTTGATGCAGACTCTTCAAGTAAAACTGAAGGTTTAACTTTTTTTTTTTGTTGCAGATACACATTGTTCTTGCATAATTAATTACCCCTGTATTATAGAATGTAAAATTGTTTTGCTATTTAATGGTCAGAATCAGATTATTATTGATCAAAGTGAAGTTAATCTCATCTCATCATTAAGCCAATCACCTTTTCCAGCCAGTATATTATAGTATATAAAGTTTAGTTCTTTAGGAGATGTTGGTGCAAGTCTCTCCTGATGCCCAGCTTGTCCCTGGAATGATGAGTGTTCTGTGCTGCTGCAGATGGAGCTCTGCTGATAGCTGTGTGCAGAGGGAAGGTCAGTGAGGGGCTGGATTTCTGTGATGAGAACGCCAGGGCAGTTGTGACCATCGGGATCCCCTTCCCAAACGTGAAGGACCTCCAGGTAGGACATCACTCCAGGCCTGAACTTGATTTTTATGTCATCTTCAAAAAAACTAAATATGCACAAAATAGATTGTTATGTCATCTTCAAAACGAAATATGCACAAAATGCCCTTTTTTTTCGTTTACCTTTGAACTTCTCTCCATCCTATTTGAATTGAGTGACCTTGCACAGGTAAGAGGTAGAGCACTGCTTTAAATAATGCAGGTTATTGCAGAAAATAAAAACTTTTAATACTGCTTTTTTCATACAAACTTTTTAATAGTGCTTTAAATTAGGCAGGTTATTGCAGAAAACAGGTGGAAAGATAAGGACTGTTTAATTATGTTATTATTTTACAATATAACTGTGTATGTCTCACTGCTTTCATTGTCTCACCTTTCTAATCCCATTGCCTTCTTTAGTGTAATTATTTGTCCCACTTCAGCACAGAGTGCACCTGGAAACTTTTTCCAAGCTTGTGCTGCTTTATTAGCTTGCAGTTTTGAAGCATGAATTTATGACACAACATGAACTCTTCCTGGATACTGAGGACAGCACTATTTGGAATATTCAAGCTTCGTGTAACTTTAGGCAAAACCTTGTAAGCGCCTTATAAAAATAACATTTGGAAATGGCTGCAGTTAAATAAATCTGAAACTATTTGTGTTTTTCAGGAGGTGGTGAAAGCAGCATCCTGTTGCACTGCTGTGTAATTGCCCACCTCAACACTTCCTTCCTTTTGACTTGAGTAGGGCTTGTCTGACAGAGATGATGTTCCATTCAAGCAGGCTGGAAGGAAAAGAAAGCCAATAAATATAGAAAAGTATTTTTCTAGGCTTTCTGCTTACTGAAAAAAAGGTTTATTAATGGGTAGCTTGTAATATCACTTCTTTCTAGGGGTCTGTGCCACTGAGGTGCTGCCACTGCTCCCAGTCACTGTCACTTCCCTGTCCTGTGTTCCTTTGAGAGCTTTTGGGACTGCTCTGTGAAGCCAAGAAACAAAGTGAAGGATCACAGAATAAATAAATACCAGGGGCAGCTGGATTCTGGTTCTCACTAATGCCAAATCAAACAAGAAAATCATAGGTTTGCACTTGAAAGGCCAAACAGCTTTGGTTTGAGAGATGTGTTCTGAGCTTAAGTGAACAAGCAAAGGCTTCTTTGTTGTCTGCAGCATGTGCCTAATTCCAGCCTTGCTGGGAAAAACCACATCCTACAAGGGCCAGGGAGGCTGTGTTAGTGCAGTTCTTCCAATGTTTGCAGAATTCCTTGGAGCACTTACTCAGCCACAACATTCTTTGTCCTTCTGAAATATAATGCACTCCACTGTAGTGTAAAAATTCACATTTAAAGAGTACTCAGCCTCCTTTCTGGGGTTAGAAATGCTGGTTTTTAGGGGCATGTGCTGACAAGGAATTTTGGAAATCCTTTGTTGTATGGCTGGAACTCTACAATTAATGCCAAAGGATTTCCTGAAAATCAATGGATTTGAGTTCTAAATGATACAAAATTAGGTTGAAAAAATGTATTATGAGTGAATTATCTTCACAGTGGATTATGATTTGATTTTACCTTGAGGTCATCCAAATATTTCAAATAACAGGATCAGAGGCACTACAACTCATTTCTGATAAGTATATTTTAAAAATCAGTGTTCTGTTGAACTATTTTTTCAATTTGGACAGAAGAAAACCTCTAAATTTTTCAGTAGGGCTAGAAACAGTACCTGCCAAATTGCAAGCAGCTCAAGGTCTGAGTGTCTGTTTAGAGATGGGAATGCCCAAAGCTCTGCAGTGATCAATTCTGGATGAGAGAAGGGCAGGCACCAGTCTCAGCATGAGATTTGCAGAGCTGCTGCATGGCAAAGCTCCTTGCAGGATGCTGGAGGAAATTTGTTTTATTTTAAATGTCTTTATATTGAACAGGGTTTTGTTTTGGTCAAGTAGGGTTGTCAAATCCCCAGAAATTCTGCATTCATGCTCATTTTTTTTACCAGCTGAGTTGCAAGAAGGGTAAAGTGAAGGAGGGTCACTCTGAAGAAAGGTATTAGTATCTTTGTAGAAATATAAAAGAAATTTGGAAGATTAAGCATCTTTTTCAGCTCAGGAAAGGAGCTGGAATTCCCTATGAAACAGTTTAAGTTTAGAGAATAGCTGCACACCATTTGGTTGGTGTTTCTTTGGATTTTGTAGGTGAAGCAGAAAACTGGGTAAAGCTTGGAACTTCTGGGGAGAACCTTGAGTTTTCAGCAGACATAAAATTCAAACCACAGTGGCACAGGCCAGGTTGGACTTGGACAGAAAATTGTGCATCTGTGGCTCTCACACAGCAATGGGTGCTCAGCAGAGGTACCAGAGGAGGAAACTGATAAGATGATGAATAATGACGTTCCTTTAAAAATAGGAAATGCAAGTGATTAACAATTCCCTTGGAATATCCATGAATTATATGCTTCTGGGATTGGTTTAAATCACTAAAAAGTGCTGGGCTTCTACATGAAAAAACACTTGAATGTCTGCTTTTTGGGTTAATAAAAGTCCTCTTAAGCCTCAATTCTATAACCCCTTACTCCTGCACAGAGCTTTTACTTGTGTGAGTAATCCCTTTAATACTGCCAGGACTGAGCACAACCAGCAGGGTTTGTGGGATTGGACCTTTGGAGAGCAATATTTTATGTTGGCAGTTTGATGTTGGCTCATCTCCACTAATATGACTTGTCTGTGATCAACCTGCTTTCTAAATATGTTTTATGATTTGTAACTTGATTGAGCTGTAATATTAGAGAACATAAATAATGTGACAGCAAGAGATGGATAATCCCACAGAGGTGTTATCTGATGCTAACATACTGTTAATTAACTTCTCTTAGATATTTTGAAGTGTAGCATTTTGAATCCAGACATCAATCTTGGGCAAGAGACTTATTGTCAAGTGTGATGAATAATATCCAAATTTAGTTTTTCCATATGTTTGTGCTAAATATATGCCACAAATCCTGGTATTAAATGGCAAACATTTGAATTCCTTGAGTAACTGTGTGCTTTCATAAGTTACAGTAATTTCTGTGGAGGCTTTTAAGATAATAATTTACTTTCACTTCAACATTTTTAGGCAAATTATATCTTAGGTTCACTGCTTTTCACGAATAGAAGAGTCTAAAACACTTTGTCAGGGTTAGGGAGAAAGAAATGATTCAGGCTCAGAAGTAGGACCTGATTATAAACAAAACTGATTGAAGAAAGAGGCCAACCCCCTAATTCTCTGTTATTGCAAAGGGTTTCATATTGCTGAAGAATCAGGTTGCTAAAAGAAAATAATATAAAAGAAAATGTTCAAGGATTGCTCAAAGCTCTGGTGCTCTCAATGGTAGAGTTTGGCTCCAGTAAAGCAGGAAAATTTATTTCAGAGCCAAAAATTACTTCTTTGGCTGTGACCAGGATTTCCTCTGCCTACCTCTGGGACCTGAAAGTAGAGGTAGGAAAATCTGATTTTGGAGCCAAGTGTGACTTGTTTAGTTCAAGTCATAATTTACTGTTCTTACCTTGGGGAGCTGAAAAGAAAGAGCTCGCGCCGAAATGTCGATAATGGCAGCTCTGAAGTGCAGGCACTGAGCTCCCCTGCCCAAGAGCATTTCTGCACTTCCACCTCTCCAGATGCTTTTGATCCTGCTACAGGAGAGTGAATGAATCATGGAACAGCCAGCAGCACTTGACCAAAATACAGCAGAAAATGCAGAAAGTCCAACTCTCTCCCATCAGCAGAGGCTGGGAGTTGTGAGCAGTGGCCTTGCTTAGTTTGCCTTTAATGGGAATTATTTCCCATGGCTGCCATGGGGGGAATATCTCTTTTATTCTTTCCACTGTCATGGGTTGTAACACCAAGGAAATCAGCACTTCAATTACAAATTTCTGAGCTTTATGTAACTTAATGATACAAAAATTTTGCAGATCTTTGGCTGAAGTTTCCACTTCTCCTATCTCAACAAACTGAGGTATTTCTATCATTTCAGAATAATGATGTGTTTCAATATTGAATTTCTAGTCCTTGTGGCAGTTTTTAAGCTTATATGTTTCGTGTCCCTTGAAAGGAGAAAGAATCTTGTGCTATGTAAGTGATTGCTGGAAAAATTCATTTCTTATTTACCATATTCTAGGAAAAGCAAGATTCCTAAGAAAATTATTGTTATTTTAACATTTAATTTAAATTATTATTATGCTTAACCAGAGTTGGGAAACATCCCTTGCACTGTATTATTTTCATCTTGCCTTTGCATCACTTAAAAATATATTTTCATTAATTAATAAAGAAATATGGGCAAAACCAGTACAGAAGACAACATTTTATGGAGAGGTCATTGTTGTGTTATATTTAGTAGAAAATTCCCTGTGAAGTTAAGAATTTTTTAGGAATAGAAGATTTTTAATTTCTTCCTATTCCAGTACTGTGAGAAAAAATTCCAAATACAAAGTGGGGAGCAGAAAACCATTTCTGGAACTTTCATGGGTGCTGTGGTAGCACTGAGATACCTCTGTTAGAATGACCTTAATAAATCATTGTAATTGACAGAATCTAGTTTGGTAAAATTCAGCTAATAATAATTTGCTTATTCCATATTATTTATGTATTAACACTGCACTTGGAATCCTTGGAACATTTAAAAATAAAATCCTGCCATAGTATCTTTTTCCTGTGGGCTAATAAATGGGAATATTGTGTTTAGACATGGCTTTGAGTGGGTCTGTGAGGGGTGAGGATGTTTGAAGCGTGTTCTGTGACTCACCCAGGTCTTTACTTGCATTATTTCTGTTAAACCTCCCAGCCCTTGTTCCTTCTTTTGAAGTGAGTGAAATGCTGCACTGTTCAGTGCTGCTTCTATTTAAAAATTTTCAGATGTAAAAGAAAAGAAATGGGTTTTCATGTCTTAACTTTCCTGCACTCACAAACTTTTATGGTTCCTTGGCATTCGTCAGGAGGAAAGTAGATGGCAGCCGTATTCCTGAAAAATTCTAATTATTGCTATTTCAGGTGGAACAGAGACTCTTAAGTGGACACATGAGATTTTTAGGATGGGAGATTTGCTTAAAAAACATTTTTATGCCTTTTTTTGGGATGGAAGCAGGATTGACCACCTGGTATTTTCTCTGCTTGTTTGTTTTTAAGACGTAGGGAATTAGTAGATGTTAAACATGAACGTGTCTTTAAACATTTTTTGGATGATGTGAGCAGTGTCTTTGTTTTCATTACTATTTTTCTTCTCATAAAACCAGAGAAACAAGTTAGTGGAATGGCAGAAAATGTTTCTATCCATTTTCTGGTTTTGCTTTCCATGGAGGAGAGTGTTGGGGAGGGAAGGGCATGAGCTGGTCCAGGTGTGGCTGTGCCACCTGCACCTGTCCATGCAGGGACACAGGCCCAACTTTATTGGCCTTTTCCAGCTCTTCTGTCTTCCTTTAACCTACCAGAGCCAACAGGAGGCAGTTGGAGATGTTTGTGAGGTGATGTCCTATCAAAGAAAAGGCCTGACTTGTCAAACCAAAAATATTGTAAACTGTTACTTATATTTGTTCTTAAAAAGCAAAGTTTGCATTTGATTTAGTGAAGCAATGCATTAAAAATACCCCTCAAAACTTTGCCAGATGAAGTAAAACCAAACACAGTTCATTGTGCTGATTTAAATTGTACAAAATAAACAAACGGGCTTAGCCGATTCAGCCTTCACGTCGTGGTACTGGCACTGATGAATCAGTTTACAGTATCCTGACTGATTTTTCTTTAGAAATAATTAGTCCATAATAGATTGATATTTCTATGCCTTGCTTTAAATACTGCTTGTGTATTCTGAATAAACCTGGTTCAGCCTGGTGTGCTGCTAAAAGGCTGCAGCTTCTGTGTGTGAATTTGCAGATTATTTTGGGGGTCAAAACCAAGCTGTAGTTTTTGAGATCTTCTCAGCTTTGTGCCATGAACTAACTCATATAATCTATGGTTAACACTGTATAAATCAGTTTATATCCTGAATAAGTCTGAGTTTCTTCATGTGAAGGAATATCACCATAGGTAATTTATTTTAAAATCTAATGTAACAAATGTCATTTAACATTGTTGTCATTGGAGAAAAACCTCTATTGCTAATTCTGTTTGAAAAATACACTTGAGTTGTAGCACAAACTGCCTCCAAGTATCTTTCCAATCCTCAAAAAAAAAAATATTGTTCATGGCATTTATCTTTTTTCGCTGCTGTTTCCCAGTTAACGTTGCAGAGTGAAAGATGTCAGAGTAATTAAGCATTGAAAGCAGGAGAGCTTTGCAGGTGGAACGTGGGGAGCTCAGAGTGAGCGTGGCTGTGCCCGTGACCTCCCAGACAGATCAAAGCCTAATCTGGGTGACAGCTACAGGATGGCAGAGCTTGCCAGGGGCCTTGTGCAGCTCTTTGTCTGCAAATCCTGCCCCAGAGCTGGGAGGATGTTTTTAAGGATGAACAGGTAAAAGTAAAAGGCTGTCTTTTGACATTTTAACTAATCCCTTCTAGCCTGTGCTTTCCTGCACATTGTGGATATTTGCTAGCAGGAGGCACTGGCTTTTTCACATATGTAACATGTCATCTTGAATCTGGCGTGGAATTGATGGGGGGGAATGCAGCAGTTCCACAATGAAATAGATTCTGATTGCATTAAAATGACAGGCCCTGGCCTTTTACCTGCAGAGCCTCCCCCTGCAAACTGAACTCGCAGCAATGCAGGCTGGCATCATCCCTGCTGAAGCAGGAGCACTGCAGGGAGAAAATAGAATAGTTTTTTCTGGTAACTCTTTTAAAATTAATAGAAGGAAGTTTTAGTGATATGTTACAACATTAGAGCAAGGGTTTGGGATTACCCCCCCCCCAACCTCATGGGTTTTTATATTAAAAAATGGGGTTTATATAATTTGAGCAATGAAATTTCATTGGTGGTATGCATACAAGCAGTAAACTTGATAACACTGACTTGTATTAGAAGGATGTGCAAGTAATGTATTTTATTTAGATGATCTGATTTGAATTTTGTTGCTACTTCAGTGAGTTTATGCAGGTATTTAAAAATAATGTCATTTTTCAGCGTAAGAAACAGGAGCAGTTATTCCAACACTGTTTGCACAGTCTGCTGGCAAAGTAAGGGGCTGATAAACCTCCATTTGTTCCAAATCACCATAATCTTGCTGCTAACACAATTCTTCCAAAAAATAAATAGTTATAAAACTGATCAGGGCTAGAAGACAAGTGCAAAATGCACAGGAGTGTATTGTCAATAGTTATGTTTTAAAGGCTTCAGTGAACTTTTCCATCATTGTTCCTCATTTCCAGAGGTGAGCAGTACCCTTTTCTTTTTCCAGGTAGTATTTCAGTTTGTAGAAATGCACAGATAAAGCCAAGTTCCTTTTTAAGGAATGGTTTAAGGTTCATAGACCATTCAGAAGAAATCATCTTCTGTTTGGAAAATTAAAAAGGAAACCTCACATGCCAGTCAGTAAATTCTGAGTGACTGGAACAAATATTAAATCTGTGAAATCAAACTGAATTTACTTTCTGGCTGTAAAGATTGAATTTGTAAATTTGACAGGCAATTTAAAGGGCATAAGTACATAAAATAAAATTTCTTATCCAAATGCAACTTGAAAGTTACCTGTCAGAAGAGGTTAGAAGTCTGCTGTTTTCTCTCCTGAAGCGTGTCCTTTCACTTGTCAGTTTAGAAAGGTTAATACTGTGCAAAAGAGCAACAGAAAGACCCTTTTTGGTGTAGTTTTATGCTTGTTTAAAAAAATAATAATTCAATTCCCCTGCTGCATAATAATAATAATAAAGCCTTTTGATATAAATCATGTTCTAATGCAAATTGTTCCAGTTCAGACTAGGTATTGTGTGTGGTTATCCTGACTGGGAAGGGGATTTCTTAGGCAGTTCATTCCAGATTCTGAAGCATCAGAGATGTGTTTTTAAAAAGGGGAACATGTTTTTCCCTGCCTGATCTCCCCATGCTCTGCAGTGAAACACTTCCAGACCTCAGGAGATGATGCCAAGCTGGGAATTTTACTTGGTGTTGCTGCCTCCTGGTCCTTGGTAGAGGCCCCACTGTCTCCAAAGCTCTTTTGCAGCTTCTGTCGAGGAAGAAAAGTTGGATTTGTTTAACCCTCGCTGGGGAAAAGCAGGGTCTGGTTCCAGCTGGGGATGAGGAGTGGCTTTTGTGATCAAGGGAAGGATGGAGAGCTCCAGTGGGGCATTTCCTTTTGGAAGAGCCAATAGTCCATCTACCTGTACCTGGTTTGGGTTTTTTTTCACCTGTCTGAACAGTTTATCCTTCTCTCACTGGCACAGAGATTTGGATGAGTGTGTAGTGCTCATGTCAATACATTTAAATTATTGGAACAGATCACAGCTAAGGGCAATTTCAGAAGCCAGGATTGGTTAGTGTACAAAATATAGAGTTGAAACACTGAAGCACAATTTATATATTCTCTTATTTAATCAATGTTTGCTTGTTTCCCCTTTTAGAATATCTCCTTTTCAACAGCATTAATAAACCAAATATTTTATGGTTTCTTTCTTAGGTTGAATTAAAGAGGAAGTACAATGACCAGCACAAAAGTACAAGAGGCCTTTTATCAGGGAGTCAGTGGTATGAAATTCAAGCTTACAGAGCTCTCAACCAAGCCCTGGGAAGGTGAGAGAAACATAACTAAAACTATATAAATTTGTAGAACTTTTTTTTTAGGGAGATCATTAAAGATTTATTCCCCACTTTTAGCACAAAGGGGTAAGTAAGGCCAAACCTCTCATATTGCAAATTTTGTCTTTTGAGCTACTCTGTGCTGACAACTCTCTGCTTTTCAGCCTGTTGTGCATTGTTATAATTCAGAGATTTTGTTTTACAGTCAGAAGCCACTTCAATTCAGTTGAAGTTTTATTTCTCAATCCAGATGTACAGGGGAAAAAAAAGCACAAGCAGAGGCAAATAATTCTTGAGCTTTAAAGCAAATGAAGATCCTTAGGACTTTTGCACTAATTGTTCACACTCTCAGTAGGCTCAGAACAGTTGTTTGATATTTAGGCTACAAGTATTTTTGAAAGGGAGAAATAGCAGTGGGGTTTTTCAGACCTTTGCAAAAGGTCAATTCAATTATTGTGCTCACTGATCTCTTCCCAGATTTAGAAGAAGTGGTATAGCTTCCATTTCCTAGATGGAAAAATTCCCCCAAATGTTATTAAAAAGGTAGAATTAATTCATCCTCCTTCAGCAAAATTTATCATATAAATAAAGATTAGAGCTGTCATCCATATCCATTGTAGGTGCTGTGCATCTGTCATGGATACAGAGCCACAGAAACATCAGCTGGAAAACTCTCCTGATTTGAATTAGTCCTAATGCAAATGTGATGACATAAATGAAGGCTTAGAGAGAAAATTGAGAGAAATTGTAACATTAGGAAATCTCACTGTGGGTTCTTGTTGTTACAAGCCTGATTTCTTAAATTCCTCTTTGGAATCAAAGAGCATTAATTCCAATAGGTTAAGAAAGCTCTCAGTTGTGGAATACCAGTACTGAAATAAATCAGCTTGTACTTAAATCAAGTTTTAGTGACAATTACTTATTGTTTAATTTATTATTTGGATGGTCTAAAATGGAGACAATAGGCTTCTATTCTGACATAAAGGTACAAATTGCTTATCAAACCACGAGCCAGAGCCCTTGCTAACCTGTGATGTGGGGAAGGATTTTGATAAAACCAGAACATTCCACCAAGCTGGCAGGAAGCTCTGTAATATTTACACTGCCTAGTTAAGAGTGGAAAATGAATGATGTGGTTTGATTGGCTGTTGAATATTTGTGTGCTTTATTTTTAATTTAGCTGTTTTCAGGTACATTCAGCAGCTGAAGGAAAATGAAGCTTCCATGACATCCATAACGATTTTTGGTGCATCCAGTAGAAGCGAATAATTTTGCGTGTATAATTTTGCATATTCCAACTGACTCAGAGTTGGAATATGTTTCCTAATTCCCACAGGTTTTTGCTGTGTGCCATCTAATTACATAAATACTCTTTTTTCCTTCACTTTTAGGTGTATAAGGCACAGGAATGACTGGGGGGCTCTTATTTTAGTTGACGACCGCTTCAAAAAGAACCCCAATAAATACATAACTGGTAAGAGGTAAAAATCTTTTGGGGAAACTTCCTAATATTGAAAAATACTGAAAACTCTGAATTACAGAACTGTGGTTGTACAAGTACAGGTGAGTAGGAAGGCTCAGAATGTGCCACAACCATGGAACAGAAATTGAACTGCTGAGTATTCAATATACAAAAAGGGTTTTCTGTTTGTGGTTTTAGACTGGGTAGAAATAAATGCAGGTGAAATAAAACAAATCCTGCACACAGCCTTTAAAAAAATAAAAATCAGAAAATAAACTGCTTAGGAATGTGTTTTCACCTTTGTTCCTGCCCTTTTTGCTGGGCAGAGCTGAGCTCACCAGCCCATGCTGGGCTTAGTCAGCAGGTGGAGCTCAGCTGCTGCAGATGAGTCCAGCTCCCTCTCTGATGTACTGAAAATACATCGAAATTATTGAAGGAAACGCTAGGAATTCATATAGAAGCACAAATAATCCATGTGTTCAACACTTGGTAAGATTTCTTTCTCTAAAAAGTAAAACTTCACAGAAGAGTGAAGTTCTCTTTTGTTGTGGGTTTGTTTGGGACTTTTTTGTTGTATACCTGCACATAAATATTTGCACTCTTAGGGTATTGTGACAGGCCCCAGGCTGGGTAATAATTAGCATAAACTCCATGTATTGCAGAATAGTCAGTAATTCTTTACTAAGAAACCCATTGTTCTTTTATAGACTGTTAGATACACATGGACCTCATTGGTCCTTTATTTAAAACACCATCACCATTGGCTAATTAAGAACAATAAACAAATCTCCATGACAACACCAGGTGCAGCAAGTGGAGATAAGAATTGTTCCTTATTCTTCTCTCTGATCTCCCAGCCTTCCCCAGCATGATGCTGGCAAAGTTGTGTTTCTCTCTCTGTGACCAGAGAGCTGCTGCCCCATCAGGTGTGTTTAGTGCTGTGAAATGCCTGATACAGGTGCTGTTATTTTGGAGTAAGGTATTTTTTTTCCCCCCAGGATTGTCCAAGTGGATCCGGCAGCAGATCCAGCACCACGACACTTTCGGCACCGCTCTGGAGTCCCTGCACGCCTTCGCCCTCCGCAACCAGAGGGGTGGGGAGCCTTCCTCAGAGCACAGCTCTGAGCTCCCTGCACAGCCCAGGGACCTCTCACAAGACTCTCAACAAGAGGCCACCACTCCTCTGTCCCCTGATGTTCCTGCTAAAAGTCAGGAGCAGAACTTGGACTCAGAAGTTCATTTTGCTGCAACCATTGGCTCAGTTCATCCCACAGCATGGGATCAGCCAAGTGACAGCACGGCAACAGTGAAACCAAGTATGTTCATTTCCACTGGCAATTTCAAATGTGGAGTTGCATCTTTTTTGGAGGAAAGAAATGTTTTTTAAACTTGCAGAAGTGCTGTAGTGGAAAATGATAATTATTCACAAATGTGGAGGAGCTGTGCTCAACAGACTGAAATTAATTCTCATTCCATCTGGTTGCCTTAAAAGAATAATCTTTGATAAGTTTATAGTACAATCAAAAATGCTTTCGTTTTAATTTCTTTTTCCACTGAACACTATGGAGATAATTTAAAATATATTTGAACACATCAAGATTAGCATTATTGCAAGTTGAGCCCTGGTTTAATCTACATCTGTTGTTTAGGCACTGCTGTGAGACACTTTCCATGTGATCTCCTCTAGTTCCAGCTTCACAAGTAAAATCCATCCCTAAATTTAGGAAAGGTTCTGATTTCATTTCAATCAAGAAAGAGGTGAATAAGATAAGAGCACAATACTAAAGATTACAAAGTTCAAATCCAGTCATACTCTACCTTTATGTGCTTGTTAATTTATTCATTTAATTAAGACAATTTATGTGCCAAGATAGTTATAACATCTGGGGTTTTGTTTGTATTATTGTTTTTAATGAATGTTGTAAAATCACTGTAAACCTTCTAAAACAGTGGTAATTCTGATGTGCTAAACATGCTGTAAATCAGATGCAATTCATTTATGTTTTGTGATTTGTCACAGGTGACCAGAAAGTTGATGTAGAGAGCCATTCTCACCATGTAAGACAGAGAAGGAAACATGTGGACTGCACCTCCAAAATGGCAACAATTAAAATAGAGACAGCAAAAGTGAATGGTTGGACCAATGCTGATGTTGTGGAAGAGAATTGCTGCTCTGAGCCACTGACTTCAACTCCTGTAGCCAAGAACTGCAGGGCCACAGCAAGCAGCAGCCAGGAGCATGTGAATGGGCCCAGTGACCTTATTGATCATTTCAATCAATGCCAATCATCATTAATTGCTGAGCATAAACCAAGTGGACCAGAATCATGTTTGGAAACAAGTCATTTTTCAGTTAAGAGTGCTGAGGCCGCAGTTGCTGAAGGACATCCTGGTAAGCTCCAGCTTCCAGCTGAGCCCTGCATGGAGTTCCCTTCAGCAGGGAGAGCAGAGCCTATAGCATTAAATGAGGATGAGGATGAGGATGAAAGCATTTACTTCACCCCAGAACTCTATGATGATGCAGACCCAGAGGAGCAGAGAACTGAGCCCCCGCTTGCAGCCTGTTGTACCACTGGGAATTGGGTGGAATGTGGGAGCTCCACAGTCCCTGCTGATCCTTTTGCCACCAACCCCTCAGAAACACAGAATGGGACTGAAAAAGCTGAGGCTGGCAGAAGTCCCCGTGGAATTATGGAAGATGTGAGGAGCAGGGACAGTGCAGTAGGTGCTGGAGGGGTGGCAGCTGCAACAGGAGCAGAGCAGGGAGGATCTCAGAAGATGGACACCCCTAAAAGGAAAATCAGCCTTTCCAGGTCCCGAAATAAAGGTGTGTCATCCTTTCTGCTGGGCAATAGTGGCACCTGGTGACAGCTTCTGTGGGAATTGTGGTGAGCAGCCCTCAAAATACCACAGGGCAGCTGCACCTTCCTTGTCCTCATGGAGCAAAAGCTTCCCTCAGGCTCCATTTCTCATTGTATTTTTGGGGTTTTCACTGGGAGGGTTTTGCAATGTGCAGTTTTCTAGAGATAGAATGAAGATTCTTCATCCTGACTTCATGCCTGGAAATTCTGAATGGAAACTGAAGTAGGATCTTACTTGGAATCATTGGGTTGTCCATTACAGATTTAATTAATTCACCATTAAATACAGTCAAGTAATTGGGTTTTTCCTCAGAAAGCAAAACGCCCATATAACCAAATTATGGTTTTCTGCATTTGTTAGACTAGGTTTTTTTACTACATGTAGAACAGTATCTTTGCAGATCAAGTCATAGACAGATTGAGCCTAAATACCAAAACAGGTGTATTCCTCAGTACTTTGCTTCCTTCCAATTTCTTCCATCAAAATGTCCAGCAGGAGCTGTGCTCATTTTGATATTTGATGAAGATGAGAAGCTTCTTCAGAGAAAAACATTGAGATTTCTTTAAGTTTTCCTTTTGTGAGAGAATCTAATTTCTGTTGGTTGGGTTCTGTGTTTATTTATGTCAAAACCTGTTCTCATTTGTTTGTCCTACAAGCACTTTTTCATGTAACATAAAATATAAATTGTACACAAAGGTCTTTGAATCTTGCCCAGTCTACTTTTTTTTTTTTTTAAGTATTTTAATGTTTCTTTCATTTTCTGCAATGAAAACAGCCAGGATTTTTCTGTAATAAAACATATTGACTTTTCAAAAAAAGATTCTTCATTGCCATCCTACATTCATAGAAGATGCAGGATTTTTGCAATGTAAAAATTGGTTCATAGGTATCGATACTTTCTGTTTGAGAGTAGAAATGAAATTATTAACTGGTCATTTTCCATAGAAGTTCACCTAAATAACATTTTGAGTCCATCCCTGCAGAGCTGTGAACATGCTCATATCAATAGGATTTAAATTGTGACCTTTCTTGATGAGATAAATTCATCTTTATGAAATGGACACTATTTGCATGAATGGGAAGAACACTAGAATTTCATCAACTGGCAGTATTTGACATAAGGCTTTTGGTTCAATTTTTGCAATATTGATGATCAAGCTTCCTTGATTGAGGTGTCCTGGATTTCACTGACAGGTTTTCTTTAGTTAATAGGGCAGAAATTCCAGTACTGAAAAAACCTCTGACTCATCTAAAGAGAAATATTCCTAATTTCTATTGAAATAATGCCGAATTCCTGTTGGTTCCTGGCCTCTAGAGCTGTCCTTGGGCTTGATCCTCAGTTTTCCTAAAGCAAATCTTCTGCACCAAACCCCTTAGTGCATTTTTGTGTGTCTGAACAGATAACAGAAATCACTTAAGCTTTGTGACTTGTCTGCTCAGCCAGTGTCCCACAGCCTCTTATTTGTCTTTCAGGAGATTTGTCTGTCTTTAAATCCATAACATTCAAAAAAAAAAAAAAAAAAAGGAAGAAAATCCATCTCCTTTTCCTTATCTGGAGCAGATTGTTCCTTTCTTGAGCTTGTGGTGCCTCTTCCTTTGATCAGAAATCCTTTAAGGCAGGGCCTGCTCTGTGTCAAATCACACCCATTTAAACTTTATATCAAATTAACCATTAGTTCTAAAATATGTATTGAAACATCAGCACTTGTTACTATGATTTCTGGAAAAAATTTCTGCCCTCTAAAAACTCAAATCAATAGGTGGATAAAACCCCTTTGTGTTCTGCTAGGTTTGCAAGGTAAGGGATAGACTGTTTCTTTTGGTGTAAATTCATTCTGAATTTGTCTTTCCACTTAATAACTGTGCTATTTGATATCTTAGAGGTAATATATTTATGGTGGTTCTCAGAATTAAATGCTGCCAAGCCTGCAGATAGAAGGGAAGTCAATATAGCGAATTTCCTAGAATTATTTATTTGGATTTATCACATCTATCAAGGCTAAAATGTTGAAAATGTTTTTCCTATTATGATATAATAGCTCAGTATAATCTCTGATGCCTAAAATAATAACAAAATCTTGAATTTATTCAAGGATTGAAAGTTCGGAGGAGATGCAGCAGAAGGAAAGCTGCCCTTAGGCAAAGTGGCTCCTCCCGAGAGAGAAAGGTACCACATCCATGGATTAAATATCTGCTCTGAGTGGCTGCTGAGTGCTAAGGTGCAAGGGAATTAAGAATAATTTATTATATCATTTTTCAAGTGAAATAATACAATGAATTGGTTTCTTCCTGATCTGCAGAGCTCTGGTTTCCACACTCAATAGATACCTTTGTTTCTCGTGGGAAACACAAAGGCACCAACCATCCCAGACTCCTTTGCAAAATTCCCAACAAATTGATAGCCTGCAGTGTTATAGGCAATAAAATCCCTCATCTTTTATATGACAGTGTTTCTATTCAAGTTAGGTTAAACATTATTAGCATGGTGTATATTGAATTATTAAATAATATAAATGATAATTATTAACTCAGACTCCTTTGAGTATTTAAAGTGCTACATTTCTCTGAAGCAGTTTGCATAGATTTATTTTCTTTATATTTAAATGCTTCAATCTGCATAGTTACTGTATGCAAACCAGTAATTACATGCATTTGTGCATTGCCTTGTTAGAAGGAAGCACACAACCAGCCTTGCAGGAAAGGACTTCATTGTGTTGTCTGTGGAGCTGAAATCCTGCCCAAAGCACAGGGTAAGATCAGCTCTTCCATTGGCAGGGATGGGATTTCTCACCCACCCTTTTCCTTTCCCAGTTTTGGATGCTGGAGGGATATTTTAGAATGGTTGGTTCATTTCTCCACTGGATTTGGTATCTGGATAAATGAGTTCTGAGACCTGCAGAAAGCCTTTGAGGGGAGAGAAGGGAGTTGTGACACGAACAATTATTTAAAATAAGTCATTTTTTCTGGCAGTTTTCCTGATTCAGTGGTCCTGCCACACTCACCTGTCTTGAGCTTAAGTCTGATATTTGACAGTTAACTGAAGGCAACTTCTCCTGCCATTATGGGAAGCTGGAAGGAATTATTTGGAGCATAGTGGCTCATTCATTGGGGTTTGTTCCTTCTTTGGATTAGGTGTTAATTTGCTACCAGTTTATGTGAGAAGTTTGGTAATGCCTTGGCACAGTAACTCAGTGAATCCGGTGCATGTTTGCATGGAACTATCAAAAGTCTGAGTGAAATAATTACACTGCTATTCTTCAACGTGTAACCTACCTTGTATTAATTTGCTTTTATTCTGTTGTGACACGTTGTACAAAGTGGGGATCAGCTGCTTTTGGGCATTCTTTGTGGTTTTGTGAGATACTTTAATTTGGGAATGTCTAAAGGCTGATAAAAGTAACAGCAATTCTATTTTTTAAAAAATAAGCTTCATCTTCAGGCCACTGGGCCATTGTGATAATGACCTAAATGCAAGATATTCTCATCAGTTACATGCAGGAACAATTAGAGATGCTTCATGCTTAAACAGTCTGGATCTGATGAAACCAAGAAAGAACAAATCTCTTCAGCAAACTAAACCTGTGCCTGAGGGACACTGGGAGATTTTCCATATTCTGCACCTATTAAAACCAGGCCAGTTAGAAAAGTCCACAGTGGGCAGGCCCAGCACATGGAGGGACTTCTTACCTCCCTTAAAGAACCTTTGAGATTTGGAAAATCCCATCAGGAACCTTTCATTCTCTCCCTGAATTTATCAGTATCATCACATCTCTGGTGCAGAACCTGTGAAATGGAACCACAGGGCTCAGGAAAAGCATTCTGGGGTACAAAAAGTCTGCACTTACCAGATTGGCTGTTGTCAGCAAGGAGTTTTATGTTGTTTAAACTGAATCTCAGATGCCAGTTGATTGAGGAAAGTTTAAAAATCTGAAAATGAAAAATAAATGGTTTTATTCAAAGTGGATTCAAGCTCGCTGGTCAATTTGGGAGTAATAACAAGGGGAAAATTATCTGTTGAAAAGTAAATTTTGGACACATTAAAAATTTTAAATAAGGCCTTCTTCCAAAGGCCATTTACAGCAATAGAAGTCTTTTCAGTGCCTGCAGTGGGTATTGGATCAGGGCCTAAATTCCCATCTTGTAAATGTGGAAAGTTTGCAGCATGGTTGAACAGTACTGTATTCAAAACCATGTGTGTATATAAGTCTTACACCCCACTTTTTAAATTATAGGAATTTTGAGAAAAGCTTGTTACACTAGTAGTGAGCTGCAAATAATCTGGAAACTCTTCAGAAATGCCAATATAAGAAGCAAAGAATCCATTAATAATTGTGAGTGTAAACTAGAGGCCATTTCAGAAGATGATAATGTCATGTTGATCATCTCAGATGCTGCAAGTCTTGGTCACCTTAAAGAAACTTTGGAGGTTTATCAGATGCCAGTGAAAGGTAAGTTCTTACTGATAAATTCCAGCTAACATTTGTCCTTGAATTGCTTGAAATTCAATTAAATACCATTCACAACATTGCTACCCCTCCCTTGGACCTTTTGGAAAGCTCATGGTGAGATTTTCCTTCCTCAAAGCTCTGTGGGCTCTGCACATTTAACAAACCCTGAAAAGGAACTCCAGTGTCCCCTGCACTCCCAGATTTGTTGGGTCCTTTCATAATATCCTGATGAAGAATAAAAGGAAAGGATAACGAGCACAGAATCCTTTCCAGTTCTTGCCAGTTAAAATCCATGAACTGGCCACGTGTAGCCTTGGTGCTGTGTTTGCCAGGAAATCATTCCAGATGTTCCATGTGCAAGCCTGTGGTGCTTCAGGGGACAGAGAGCAAAAATAATGTATTTTATTTCATATGTTGGCAATTCTCTTGCCCATCCAGTGGTGTTAGGCTGGCACAGATATTGAGATGTGATTTTGCCACAAGGACTGAGCATTCTTTACCATCTTTCTGACATTTTGAAATGTGCGAAACGCAGCTGATAAAATGACTTTTATTTCTTTCAAAAATCTATCTTGATTCCTATATAAACCACTTTTTCTTTCTTTTTGAAAGACCTGAATGGCAGTTTATCTTTAAATGCTACTTGGAATGAGAAGGAATCTTCTCTGACAAGTTACTTGCAGTGCAGGAGCTGTGTCCTTCAATCCATTTCTCCAAGTCCTTTGATAGGAGCTGAGGTTACTCATTTCAGTAATAAAGTGCAGTCATGGGTAAGTCAGATCAGTTTATTTTGTATAATAAAATGATCATGGAATGATTTGTACAGGAAATACTAAAATACTATTTTTGTAAAAGGTAAAATGAATATTTAGCTAGATAATTTTATATGATTTATCTGATTTCTACCACAGAGATTTGAAATTATAGTTAAGAGCTAAGTTCAGGTCACTGAATATATTTTTCTGTACCTAATTTGTTGCAATGTCTATAGTATTACATCTGAAAAGGGATGGGAAAATAGCAGCCATCCATGTCTTTCATGAAAGGAAAACCAGAACAAAACATATTTACACAAGTGCTGTAGACTTGAATTCTCAGACATGTAATTTTATGTTAGTTTTGGCACTAAAAAAGAAGAAGTTAATCAGCCCCTGAAGGATGAACATGGACACGGTTTAATGGAGTCAACAGGAAGAAATTTCTTTATAGGTATTGTATTTCAGTGGGAGCAAACTGAATTCTCAATAGGACCCTTTGAAATTTAGGTGAGAAAATTCTGTATTTTTCTCTTAAAGTGGAGGGTGAGGCTCCATCCTGAGTGCTCCGTGCAGGTAAGCCCAGGACACCTCTGCCTTCCCTGCATTTCCTTCATTTATTCCATGGATATAAATACAGTTGAGCTAAATGAGAGATTTTTGAGACTGAATCTTTGCCAAAAGCTGAATATGATCCTCATGTTTTGCCTGTGTGTGTCATTATCAGCTGTCCAAGCTGTTTGAAATGCAGAGTGTGGCAGTGTGGTGATGGGACAGGGTTTATGAAGCATTATTTGCCATGAATTTTGGGATTTCAAACACCACCACGAAGATTTCATGACATTTCCAGCATTCATTTTATATCAAACATAATGAGATGTTACACTGAGGGAATTTATACTGGCAGAATATGAAATAAAGGGATCCTCTGAGGTAGATGAGTTGGTTTTTTGTTTTAGCTTCTGAAAGAAAAAAAGTCTTTTTGTTGCTCTTCCCTCCCATCAGGTGTAAATATGGGATCAGAAAACCCGTGTTTTCTTCTCAGCCCACCTATAGATTGAACTTCTGGGTTTTTTGAGCTAAAAATACTCTGTTAACTCCAGCAGATTTTCTTAATGAGTGTGTTTCTCTCCCATTCTTCCCTGTTACCCTTCCTGTACCCACGGGGAAGAAAGCTGAGAACCTTGTAGGGCTGCAAGAGGCTGAACCCCCCAGCTCTGCCTTTGGGGAGTCATTGTGAGAGCTCGTGGCTTTGGGAGAGACACATCTAATCTCTTAATGCATGGCTTTGTTTCAGGAAAAACAAAATATCCCATCATCTTCCACAGAGCTGGGGAACCATTTTCCATCTCTGCTTTGGGCTGACCATGTCTTAGGGTAGATGAATGTGCCAGGTGACTTGAATGTGGGATTTGAGGGGGTGAGGAAGGAAATCACTGTTTTTTTGAGGGCTTTTTTTATTTTGTGTGTGAAAATAATGATGTTTATTTACAAAGGTAGGATGGACTGGGGATGAATGATGCTAGAGGTAAATACAGCTTTAATTTCATCACCTCCCTGGCTTTAAATTCACTGGCTGTTGTTGTCTTGTAATTTGGAATATATTGATGTAAATGAAGGCACCCAGAAAGAGTCCCAGGAGTTGAAAATGATGATTTATGATGTGCTATCATTTACCAGAACAAACACAGATGCATTAAAGTGAAGAAGCTGTGATTCTGTCAGTCTTAGCTCCCAGTTCTGTATTCTTGAATCCGAGCTCCTGCTGTTGCTGAGCAATATATTTGTGGAGATAAAATCAACATTATAGTTTCTACTGCTGCCCACCCTGTGGTAAATCATGTTCATTGTCATGAGGTATCGTGTGTCATCTTAAATTGCTTCGTGTCATGGGCTGACTATAAATCAACTACAGTTGGTTCTGCAAGGCAAGGAATTGTTCATTTAATAGAAATCACATTGCTCCAGCAAAGCAAGCTTAAAATAGAATCCCTGGATTTAAGAGCTGTTATTTACTCCTGGATTTGGTCACTCTTTAAAGAGGCAACGCTGTATTTTCATGACTTAAATTTAAGGTGGGATTAACAAATTGCATCTTGTATTTTTTTAACCTGCTTTTTTTATAAATTATTTCTATTGAAAATTAGATTTTTAAATTTACTGCTACATTTCTACAAATTCAGTCACATCCTGTGTTCCCCATTGACCTAGAAACCTCCATTAACACCAAAACAGTGTAATATAAATTATTATTATTATTTTGTATTGCTTTAAACACCCCAAGTAATTGCATACACCTTAAATAATTGTATTTTTTAGGACCCTAAATAATTGTATATTTATTTTTGGAAATAGAATTGTGTTTGTGAAATGGAATAGAAGGCAGTACTTTGGAATTAGAGAGAATATTTTGGTAGCACGAATGTAGGGGCGCTTTAAGATGTAGCTTAGCTAATGTACTAAATCATTCTTCATATGTTAAAAGGCAACCAAAACCCACAATTAACATTTTAAACTTATTAAGGAGTTGTTGCTATCACTGATTAGACAGTCAGCTGTTGAGACAGTAGCTTTTACATAACAGGATATTGTTTTGTTCATCACGTTACCACATTTGGCAAACTTTTATCTTAATGCGCCTATCGGGAATTGCAGTCTGACCTCAATCTCAGTAAAGCCTCGGAGGGGCCGGAGCGGAGCTGGCGGGAGGTGCCAGGGCCCTGCTCCCAGACTGTATATTTGTTATCACATGTTAATCAGATTCATCATTCTGTTTAATAAAGATTTCAGCTGCCACGCGAATGCATAATCGGCTATGTCTGAGTGCCCGTCTTTTGTCTCGAGCAGATTGCTCAAACTGTATTAAGCATCATTAGACAAAAATGACGACCTTATTAATTTGTCCTTTCTGTGTTTTCCAGCAGATTGGGCCTCATTATTATGCAAACACAGTACACACAGAGGCACCAGAAGTAGCTCATTAATGTTTCTTTCCCCTTAGTACGTAACAGATTATTATTGTGAAGTGTGCATGAAATAATTGCTAATTATGTGCCTTAAATTGTACAGTGATTGTCTGTCTCGGGGTTTTTCACCAGGTTTAAGAGCACTGGGGAAGGCCGTCAGAAGCTACAGGTTAACAGTGCTGAAGCCAGTAAAGGGGAAGGGAATCACAAAACATGCATTTTATCACACGTTTTCCTGCCTGGAAGGAGTAATTAGGACAGCTCTGGATTGCTTTGTAGTTACCTCTCACTCCTCTGCTTATTGTAAAAGAAATGACTCCCAGCTGGCAAATAATTTAATAGATCTGTCTGCCCGTGAATAGATGCAGGGGAGTCTGAACCATGGACTTTTGGTAAAAATCCAGTAGATTCTGCAGAGGTAAAGCTTGAGTTGGTGTGGATCCCTCATTTACACACCACTAAAATCTCCTGGATTTCCAAACACTGCTCGTTCCACCATACATTTCCCCAGACTCTCCATCCAGTGTAATTCTCCTTAAAATTTGTAAGCATTACAGAAATGACATGCCAGGCTTTGGCATGGATCTGCAGTTTGACAACTTTGTGCTAAGTGTGTAATTGGTTTAAGCTGGGAGTGCCTCACACTGATCCGTGGCACAGCTCCTGTAATCTGCCTGCCACCGTAGCTGATAAGACTTGGCCACAACCAAAGTTTTTGCAGCGCTCGAAATAAAATCCTGATCCATTAAGGGTTTGCATGGATTTAGCTTTATAATCTGGTTTAGAAATTGTGAGTGGTCAGATCTTGGATCCAGGCTTTGTTGTCGAAACAATGCCACGAAAACCGTGACATCAGCTTGGGTTTTCCTAATGTTGCTTTTGTTGACAATCTGAACTAAATAAAAGTGGCTATTTTGCAGTTATTTACTGTATATGAGCACTGAAACAGGTGTCTTGGAGGGTTAGGAGGAGAACATTCACCTGACTTTACTTACTTTAAATAATTGTAGTGTCTGACTGCATTTGTTGATGTTGCATAGTTGCTTGTGTCAGCTGATACCATCAGTTAAATGTGGTGGTGGTTTCATACAATTTAAGTTAAAATAAATGGAGCATGTGAGCTATAAATAATCTTTAAACATTTCACACAGATCGTTACTGACTATTTCTGAAGCACAGACCTATATTACACTTCTGAAACATCAAAATTAAATTGCTCTATGGAAACCAAATTCTCTTTACTGCGCTGTTCATTGTTGGGCACAGAGATATTTACTTGATAAATCATGTGGCAAACAAAAACTGAAAATAGTTGCAGAAGTAAGTATTTACTTGCATTGTTTGAAATGAATATATTGCTATGAACAGGCTCAGATGTACTATCAATGTAGAGGTTCTGCAACCATGATAATCTTTTTCTTTCTGAATTTTCAGTGATAGTATTGCACACGGATGTTTCTCTGTAATTGCAGCCAAGGGTCTCATGTCCACATTTCCTTTGGACAATTTTCCTTTTCCTTCACAATTTGTGTTTTCCTGTTCTTTTTCTGCTCTGTGTTTAGTCTGTCCCTGCTACTTTGAGTTTAACTGATTTGTTTAGTTACCAATTTTAATTAATTTAAATAGAACTGTTTTTTTCAGTGTGTGATTGTATTTTATATGAAAGGCTCTGACCCACAAATCAACTCTTGAGCACTTGCTTGTTGAGAATTTCCAAGAAATAATGTTCTGATGGCCAGGGAATATTGGAACTCACCTGAATTTGTGTCAATGGATTAAATATTTTCCATGAGTCTGGCTTTCCCCTTCTGATGGTGTGCATCCAGAGATGACCTTGGAAAAGGTTTTTCATGTTGCTTCTTCCTGCTGGTGCCAGAATCATTTGTCTCCCAGGAATTATCTGTCTGAATTGCTTTCCTTGTGCTTGACACTGAATATGTTTCTTTTCACTCAGCCAAAATGTGTTTGCTCCTCCTGTCTCAATCAGTAGATCCTCTCTGGGATCAGTGCTGTTTTCAACTCTCTGGGAATATTGCTTGCTGAAGCCTT